GTCTTTCGTTGCGTGCGTAAAGGGTGTGTGTGTGTGTGTCCTCTGGTGTGTGTGTGTGGCAGGAAAAAATTCCCCGAGGGCGTGTGAAACCACCCAAAATATATCTCCGAAACCCGAGTTTTTTTTTGAAATCGGAAAAAAATCATCGGTGGGAAATCACGAGAGGAATCGATTGCAGCACTTAATTTTTGAATCGTACGGTTAGATTGTCCCCAAGAAACTAATCAAAATACCCTCCAATATCCGGTTTTTTGCCCATAACTCCGTTATTTTTTGTCAATTTGGAAATCGGAAAAAAATCATCGGTGGCAAATTACGAGAGCTGTCCAAATCCGGTCTCAGATTTTGTGTCTGCAAAAACCACCGCCCTCCAGAAAGTAAGCAAGATTTCTTGAATATCTGAACATATCGAGCGAAGGACGAAAAAAAAAAAAAAAGTCCGTACGAAGCCTTGAAACNTACCCTCCAATATCCGGTTTTTTGCCCATAACTCCGTTATTTTTTGTCAATTTGGAAATCGGAAAAAAATCATCGGTGGCAAATTACGAGAGCTGTCCAAATCCGGTCTCAGATTTTGTGTCTGCAAAAACCACCGCCCTCCAGAAAGTAAGCAAGATTTCTTGAATATCTGAACATATCGAGCGAAGGACGAAAAAAAAAAAAAAAGTCCGTACGAAGCCTTGAAACAAATGTCGATTTACGCGGTATTTTCAGATTTCGGAATAAGTACCCCCACCCCGAGAAAAGTGCACCTTTGTGCAGGGGAAAATATTGTGAATATTTGCCCGAACGGACCATATATTTACCAAAAAGACGCCCTTCAGAAGCCTGTCAACCCCTTTCAACTGCCTTCTATCTTTGGTTCGTGGCGGCCAGCACGACTGTGACAAATGTTGGGTTCCGTGGTTCCGGCACAGAAATCGGACTGCTTTTTTCAGCTCCAGTAGCAAACTTGAACGTGCCAGCACGCACGACGCCTTTTCATGGTGTCCTACTGAGAATGTGTAGCCTATTTAGTGCTATTGTAGGGACGCAGTACCAGGTTACTGGCGGGAAGGGTGTTTTCGCTCTTTGCAATGGATTTATAGCGGAGAAAAGAGCCAGGGTCAAAAATTCTTCTGCACCAGACCAGTGCATCCATTGCTTCAATCTGCAAGCCCTCGGAACAATCGCTACTTTTGCAGCTGTGCAGAACAAAGTGCGGTGCACCCACGTGTACAGCAGCAAGTCTACTAGTACCATGGTGTACCAGGTAAGAATTGGTGTTGCACCACAAGGGCACAGGATAGGGGAACCGGTTCATGGAATCTTCGGTGCTTCATGCATAGTGTTGTAGAGAGGCAGCTCTCCCTTCTTCCCCTCGCTCCTCGACAAGCTTTTGCTTAGACATGGGTTGTAG